GAGCTGGCAGCTCGTCAGCTGTTTCTCTGCAGAGATGTTCCGAGAGGGGCTCATCAGGCTGGCCAGGGTCTGCACCTGCTCCCTCAGCCAACCTCGGCGGCCTGGTGGGCTCAGCTCCAGGCCACGGCGTGCCGCCGGCATCCCAGGGAGCAAGCCCCGCAAACCTTTAGGTTTCCTGGTACATATAAACGTATGTTTCCGCTACCCGGTAGTCCCCTGAGTCTTCTCGACCCTCCCAGGCCGAGTCGGTTCAGCGTTCGTTCTGCTAATTTGAAGGAGAATGCTGGCACCGTGGCGGCCTCTCACACACGTGTTAGCCATAGCAGGGAATGAGCCAGCAGGGAGCCAGCAAGCTGAGCCCCCCAGAATCCCCATGCGCTCTGCCCTGGGCTTTCTCTGGCTTCCCTCGAGGCCCTCCCTGTCCAGGCCGCTCCACAGAGCCGCCTCTGGGTCACGCCGCCCTGGCTCCCTGACTTCTAGGCACAGGTGTGCACACGCACCCACCTGCGCTCAGGCGCCCCTGGCCAGCACCCGTGCCCCACACCACGCGCCCTCCAGTTAACAAGATCAAGGCCGCAGGTGATAGCCCCTGAGGCCAGTGGTGTAACAGCCTGGCCCACATTTACTCTACAGTGAACAAGGCACCTACCTATAGGACAAGCAGGCGGGCGCATGTGGGTTCGTGGTTGGTTCCGGAAATCGGGTGAAGGATCTTGGAGCCCTCAGTAGATGCCACAGGCCTTTAATGCTGAACTGGGGGCCAGATATACAGGCAGACCAGCGGGCAGGGGGGCCGGCAGCAACCGAGCCCCCCAGCCTCCCGCAATTTCCACTCTCCCTCTCCGGCTTCTCCCTAGTGAACTTTCTCCAAGCGTCCAGAGCGCGCCCTGTCACCATCAGCGGCATGCACACGCCCTGTGCTCCTGCTCCCAGGACCCTTTGCAACAACATGTTATCACGTGTGGGCACGGCAACCTGGGAGCAACAGGGCCGCAGGTGGTGGCCATAGAGGCCAGAGTAGGGAAGGAAAAAAAGGCCTGACTCACTCCATTTTCCCTGCAGAACATGATGCTAAAGCATGCCCGTCCTGGAGTGGGGG